TTGTCCTGGTGTATTAATAGGCCTGCGGGCATTAACCTCTAATAAAGCAAAAAAAAAATAAATTAAATTTAGATACATCAACTATAATTCAATTGAAAATTTTTGACTTGAATTCCACTATTCATTGGAAATGTTATTACTAAATAATTATGATACTTTTTTTTTCGATAAGTTCAAGAATATGTCATTGTTTGCTTTTTACCATGAAGTTTGTTATTCTAACTTTTATTTTTAATAATAAAAACTATTTTTTTCTTTTTGTTTTATTTCTTAATTAATTATTGTTCTTTGTTTTCAGTTAAAGTTTACGTTATATACACAAAACTACTGACAAAAACACGACATTGATGATTATTGACATGAAAAGGATCTATTACCAATGTAAAAACTTGATCGAAGTTTAAGTTAGTCTTCTATCAGTAATCTACGTTCTGTCTCTGATACAACTATATCAATCATATGATCACGAGTTTCGTTTGGAGGCATTCGATTGAACATGTCAATTAAATCTACAACATTCTTTACAAGTTGAGTAAATCGAAGTACTGCTTCTTTAAATCCATATAGATAAACTAAATATTTCCACAACATCGTCACATATAAATTCTGGATATGAACAAGATCTATTGAGCTTGGCATAATTGAAATATCTTCTTGATTATCATATTTAACGACCGAGCAATTACTTGAATATGCTAATATGAATACTAAGATTTTAATAAGATTTCCATTTGGATCATATTGTGCAATTTTTCGATGACATTCTATCATAAATTGAGATCCAAAAAGTTGATCGCTAGCATTCAAAGCAATCATATTATGAAATATATTTAATTCACGACAAAAGAAAAGTCCATTAATCACACCAGTGATATACAAATTTTGCTTGATAAGAATTTGTCGAGCATGAACATGTAAAGTATAAAAATCAGGTGAACGTTCAATAAGTGGTCCAACACATGTATAGAGCTCACGAAGAGGCTTCAGTAATTCCGATGATTTAGAACGTAATTTTGGTGGTAATGAATATAATTCATTAAGAGAATGTTGAATTCGTATGGCAGGATTTTGTTCCTCAAATAGATGAAGAAAATTCGAAAGAAGCGTCCATTCATTAGTTGTTAATTTTGAATGATCATTTTGAAGAAGACTAAGTGGTAGAGGCTATAGAAAAATAAATGAACAAAACCATCATTTTCAATGAAAACTGAAGAAATAATATTACTATTGGTAACTCAATTTGTTTGTTCTCTATCGTTTGTATTTGTTGAATTTCCTTGAAGACATTGTTGAATTCAGAAAAATTCCGCATCAATTTAGGATTCATTCCCAATGCAAAACATTTCTTCAATCGACAGGGTGAACAATGATTACGTGTTATTTTTATTATATCGCAATTATTTTGAAATTGACAATGTGATGTAAACTATTCAAGTTGTTTAGAAAAAACTTCTGTATCCTTTTTTTTTTTATATATGTATATTGAACTTACTGATTTTTTATGTGCATTTCTGCGAAAAAAAGATTTACAAGACATACAAGTAATGACATTAAAATTGAAACCACGTGCTTCAGCACCGCATATACGACATGCCTTAGGAGTCGTTGATGTGTGATTCTCTACACTTTTTCTAATTTTCATCGGTAAGGAAAGAAAGCGTTAAAAAGAATATTGAGCTGCTAAGTTTTGAGAGCTTTTTTTTGAAATAAATGCCGCTCAAAGCTTTTATGTTGACATATGTTTAATTTATGTACTAAGAAAAACAAAAAAAAAGAGATAATATTAATTGGCTTGCTAATTTGTCCAATCAAATGGCAAGTGGAGCACGGTAATATTACATTAGGATAGATTGCAGAGTGCACATCTGTTCCATACTAGTTTAACAAAGTAATTATTACATTTGACAACTGAATGCTTTATATAAAATAACACGCGAGTACATTTCCTATGAAATACAAATAGAGAGCATGATGAAAGTATACGTACTTTGTAAATAGAAACACTTGTTAAATATGTCTTTCCGTTTCAGTTGTCACTGTCAATATATGTGTGTTTTTGATAAAATAGAAAAATCTTATTTCTAATATGTTATGATGCATGTAGAATAATCATGAATAAAATTTATAAAATATGACATTGTAGTAATAGTACTTTGTATCTCATTGATGAACACGGTCTGGAAAAGAAATTCTTTCACGTCTATATTTTTATCAATATTTGGTAACCACCTTGTCAACCAATTTTCAATTCTAGTTGAATATCTTTTTTTAGCGAAGTATTCATAACGAAACGGTATAAGAAATGCAAAATGATTAGGGGAGTGTTTATTTTCTTGTTTTGCTGAGAAACATACATGTCTGGTCAAAATAAACTATAGAGAGTTCGTAAGAATGACAAAGTTCTTATTAATTGATTTAAAAATTGATGTTTCGTGACTAAAGATCTGTGGCATCAGAATCACAAGAAAAAAAGTTTGATGGGACCGAGAACACAGAACAGACAAGTTGCTGAGACCGGAATTGAAACTACAAGAAAAAATTTGTTGCAACTAGAACTAAACATTATCGTGTCTTCTCATTTGCAAATATAAAATCGAAATTCAAAATCTATTTAATTCAATTTTAGTTGTCTTTTAAATTAAATTTATTCAAATTGAAAATAATCTTAGATCTCAAATTTTCGGTTTTCAAATTTCAAAAAAATTACTGACAACAATTTTAATACGGCTTAAACTTTCAGATATATTTTTAAACTTGCTGAAATTTATAGAGTTCGCCAGACATAATTGTTACTATGAATGCTATTAGGTGTTTTTGATTTTGAACAGACCATATAGTTATGATAAATAAAATGGAATCAAAGATTGAATGGAGACTACTGATTGATGTGCAGAAGCATTTAGACATAAAAATCAAAAATGATGTTCTAAAAAAGACGGCTTAGAAATATAGATGTTGATAAGCGTCTTCTCTTGATGACTACAACTCGATCCGCCTACACCACATTTGGAATAAATATCGATTATCACAACAAATTATCATACAATCTCTTTAAAAACTCGCTTTGTCTTTAACTAAAATCGTTCTTAGTTCAACCAAAATCGACTATCCTTGCTCGTGCATTATAAGTGTTAGTTTATCAATAACAAAAGAAAAACAAACCAGCTAGTATATTCTATTTTTGATTTCTATTAAAATTCTTCGCAGCTAGACCCAAACGAAAATCTTAATTCAAATAACTTTTTAGTAAAATCTTTTACAACAATTTACTTTCAATATTCGTTCGCAGTAATCAAATTTTTGAAAGTTAAATATAAATATTAATCGTTTTACGAAAAATTAATAAAATTATCAAATTTAGATCAAACGAAATTTTAAAAATTTTAATTTACTTAAAATTTATTTTTTTTTATGTTCCCAAATGAGAAGTCGCCAAATATTATAGCACAATATTCTATGGTTTTAAGCAAACTATCCTGCAAATAATCGATCAGATCATAATTGACAATAAAAAGAAAAATATCAAATGATGATTTATTCATACTTAATTTGTCATCGCTTTTGCAACATTACTATTTAAGCATTCACGACAAGTAAAGCAAAAAACAGTACTGGAATATTTATAATTAATGATGCAAGAGAAACTACAGTAGTAATGCGTTATAAAGTTTCTGAATTCAGTTGAATGATGGGGGTATTCTAGATATATATGTATGTACTGGAGACCTGCAAGACTGTCTCATGGATCCCTGGTATATACATTTAAAATACACTTGTTACTGCAGAGATGTCCATCGCGGCGCGGCAGCGGTGCGGGAGAAATTTGAAAATATCATCGCGGCAGCGGCAGGCTCCTTTTAGAAGATATTGCCAAAACTTCATGAATTTGCCAAAAATTGAGTGTCCAAAAACGTAACACTCTAAGACTCAATGAATCTCATCGATTAGTGACAAGAATTGTATTTCAATACATTCACAGCAATGAAATTCGAAACTTTTTTTCGAGTACCATCGCGGCAGCGGCAGACTTTTTGGAAATTCATCGCGGCGCGGGAGCAGAAAATTTAAAAAAAACATCATCGCGGCGCGGCAGCGGCAGATTTCGAGCCACGATGAACATCTCTGCTGTGAATGTATTGAAATACAATTCTGGTCACTAATCGATGAAATTCATTGAGTCTTAGAGTGTTACATCTGTGGACACTCAATTTTTGTGCAAATTCATGCAGTTTTTGCAATGTCTTTCAGAAATAAGGTACCGCCGCCGTGCCACTGCCGCGTCGCTAACCGCTACCGCGGCAGCGCCGCGATGGACATCTCTGGTAGAGCTTTGAACGGGGAATATTATGAAAACAGAATTTGATTCGTTAGGATGAAAAATCAATGAGATATCGTTAAAATACTAAAGGTATCATTTTTTATGGTTCACCCGTTAGAATTAAAATCGTAAATTTATAATATCTTAACTTGTTGATTAAATTGACATTTCTTCGAAATTTACGATCACTTAACTAAAATTTCATATTATAGATAAGAATATGACCATAAATCAAATGCGATTTTTTTTACGAATGGTTCTTTATTGTTTTAGTTGAATATTTGTGAATTATTCTAATGAGAGCTAATGTCAAGAATTTGAATATCAATTGAAATTCAAAGAAATTTCGATAATATAACATGTTCCTTAATACGAACCTTTTTCTTCTCTAATTAAATTAAGATCTATTATTTAAAATAACAGACGAGTTATTACTTATGAATCAAATTAATCTAAGTTCGAAATATATCAATTGATAATCATCTTTATTAAATTAAAAAAAAAAAAAAAAACATTTAATTAACTCGACAAATTTCATTCGACTGTTCATTAGACGTTGGTGATTGTCTTTGTTTATTTGAAAATTCAATTGGAATTTCTTGAATGAATTGTTGAGGAAATTTTTCTTTAACAAAATGTTGCATCTTTATTTTATTATTTTCATAAAATTCAATAAAAATTTTGTCTTTTTGTGGTGTATTCATTTTTGTATAAGAATTTGAATTCATTGTTTTTGAAAATGCTTCTTCATAGAATTCTAAAGTTTTTTCAATTTCAATAGCTGTTGGTCGTCGTTTTGAATTTTCATCTAAACATCTTGATATAATATCATCATAAAAAATAGGACTTTCTTTCGTTATTATAATACGTGGTACAGGTGAAGCAAAACGAAAATCATGCATTTTTTCTGTAAATAATTGATTTAATGTAAGACCATAGGTAAATATATCTAATTTTTCATCACATTTAACATGTCCATCAGATGCATCACGAAAAAATTCTGGTGGCATAAATTGTATACAACCTAATTGAGTTTGTTGACCAGTTGGATCAAGAACACGAGCAATACCCATATCACCAATTTTTGCAACATAATTATCCGTAACAAGAATATTATCAGGTCGAATATCACGATGTATCATTCCATGTTGATGAATACGTCTTATACCTGATGCTATTTGTCTTGACATAGCTAATTTACGTCTTAATGATAATTTATTTGGTTGTGTTTCAAGAAGATTTTGTAAACTTCCACGTCCCATTAATTCCATTAATATCATAAATTGAGTTTTTGCTCCACGATTACGATTTGCTGGTATATCACGTGTTGCATAAGCATATGTTCGAAGAATATATGGACCTGATAATTCTCTATAGGCAGCTAATTCAAGAAGAAAACTTCGATGAAGTGGATCTGATGCTGATGATCCACCAGATATTTCAATTACTTTACAAGCTATTTGACGATTTTTTGGTCGCCATATTGCTTTACATACATAACCTATTATAAGAGATATTTAATGTCTATATATATATATGATTGATTAATTTGAAAGACGACTTACCAAATCCTCCTCTACCTAAAACTTCTCCCATATCAATATCATCTGGATCAATTTTTGGCATAACTCTATTTGAAGTTAAAATTAATGGATGATCTCTATCATGATTTTTCGTACAAACATGTTTATCAATTGCACATGTTTCACATAAATTATAATTTGGACATGTATCACATTTAAAACGTAAACCAGTAAAATCTTTTTTATAACAAATTCCATCACATTTTATACCATTATGTTGTTCATATCGAAGTGTATCTAAATTTCTTAATTTAGATAAATTAACTTCATTATCAATATTATTAAAATATATTCCTAAAACTTCATTTGGTAATTTAAAATGAATCATAGCATGACCATTTGAATGTTTTCCTGTTTGACGACGTCTTTCAAAACAACGTCCACATACATCATAAGTTGGTGATGTACATTCTAAACAATGATATCGATCAACATGACGAATAGGTTTCATTCCACATACAGCACATTGTGCATTATGAACATCATCATCATCATTAATATCATCGGATTGAGCTTTATTGACTAATTTTGCAAGTACACTCATCAATAATAAATCATCAATATGTTCGGAACATTTTTCTGAAGAAACATCTGCAAGAAGAAGAAGAAAAAAAAACATTTGAAATGATAAAAATAATTCGTAAAAAGAATATTTTTTATTTACCTTTAACTTGATGTTTTGCTTCTTGAGGTGATAATTTGTATTGAATAAATTCACAATGTTGTTTTGTACCTTATATAAATGAAGAATATATTTTTCAAAGTTGATTTTATTATCATAAAATTTCAGTATAAAACAATGTGAACAATATTTTTAGGTTTTCATCATTCCGTCGACACTTTTCAAACAATTCTTTTAATAGGGATTAATAATTTGTTTTAACAGTTCACTTCTTAGAATTGACTTGTTCGAGCAATTTTATTGTTTTTGGAAATGATACTTCCAGGCATAAAAACTAATTGTTCTGCTATTGTCATATCGGTTCTAAAACAGAACAACATTTTTCGGACAGCATAGTTTCATCATTTAACCTGCTGAAACAAATTTTGTGACATGAGGATGTAGATGTTTGAATAATTCTTTCGTTAACTGAAAGCTGGTCGATATTGTCTATTCCTAAGTTTTTTTTTCTTTACTTATATATTCTGTAGATTTTGCTATTATTTAAAACAATGTAAATATTGAATGTACTTATCTATAAACGGACCAATCGGCATATGTAATTGCTTCTTTATTCATGTATCAATATGTATTTCATCTTATGCATACCTACATTTGTGCGTCATCATACACATAAATAAATCCTTATTTATTCATATTTTCATCTAATTAGAATTGTTATGACGTGGGTGTAACGTTGCTAAGACGTTTGTTGTGTCTCTGATGAGCTGTTGCTAAAAAATGTCTGTTACGAATATAGAAGTGGGGATATCGGAATTTCTATCACTATACTTCAACACTCTTTTTAGATCTTGTTTCATAATTAAGAGATTAATTTATATTACCATGAGCAAGAACTTTTCCATAACGTTTTGTACCATCAATATCAATCGCATAAGTAACATTATCTTCAGGATCTTGTGATGGTGGTAAACGGACATATTTTTGTAGGATAACTTCGATTTTTCTTGTGTCTTCCCATTTAATTGTACAATAACGTTCTTGTGTACGTTGTTCGTCTAAATAAAAATATGAAACATTAATCGAACAAATTTGATTTTTTTGTTTTCGTACCAAGTTTATCAACCAGCGCGTCTTTCAGATGTTTTAACATGTAAAATTATACGACCGAAAAAGATGAAGTCGCTATTAAAACTGATTGTGAAGAACTACTCGTCTTTGCGAACGAAAAAAAAAAAGCTTATGAAGAAAACAAAAAAAAAATGAAAGCAAATACAAACGACAAAAAAAAGAATGTTTTTTTTCACTGGTATATTTTTCGACTCTGTCTGATTAAGACGTCAGAAGTTATGAGAGATGTTTGTATATAAACTAAGTGGAAACATCTTAATGACATCTGATTATTCATTCTGATGTATATATACTTTATCTATTAATCATACAAATGAGATGAGACAATAAGTATTTGTACTGCGGTAAAGTAAGGACTACAGTTTGATTGGTTTATAACTTCTACGCGATATGAGCCACATTGCTTTAGCTCATATGTAACAAGACCATCAGGATTTTTCCTGGGATAAACTTAGCATGTGCTTTCTTTTCAACATTGTCGATTATAATGTAAAACTTTCTTCATTGATATAGTTCTGCAGAAAAACTAAAGAAATAATTAATATCAGTGACAGCTATATGATTCATCGACTTTCACGGTTACTGTTTGTTTATGTAGTTATAAGTGCAATTCCTCTTTCTTGGTATATACAACACGAGCAACAAGGTTAGATAGATAAGCTATCGTATCCAGAGATAGATTAAACAGAAGCGACTCTTGGTGACAACATCACAGTGTACTTTTTTTTAAAACCTTTTATAAAAGTTACATTTTATATAAAATTGTATTTTGCAATAAGTTGTCGCCAAGGGTGACCAAAAAGTTTTAACCGATTCTCTGTCTCAAACTGAATTAACGACTTCGAATAATTCGTTTCGGCTGCAATTTTCAGAAATCGGTGATTCTAGTGAGAAATGCTTTTGATAAAAATTTCAGCACAATACGTAAATATAGATTGCCATTTCATCTTGTTCATAACTTATTTGTGATATCGAGAAGAATCCTTATAGAGTCGTCTTTAAAAAAGATAAAAAAGTTGGATTGATTTCAAGTTAAAGTTAATAGTTTTCAGCAGCTTTTGTTCGAACATAATTTTAAAATTCGTTTCTCTGTTCATTTTAGTATACGAAGACATTAAATCTCGCTTTTCTGGACATAGGAATCAAATATGAAAAACAAATCTAGTCGGACAAAAGTTTTTCACTCATTAAGATCTTTAAAATGAGAAAATATATTAGTTATACTTTGAACTCTATGGAAGAAAATGAGAAAAAAATGTACAATTCGATGTTTTTATTCGCATTCTTTCGACTCTTGTCCAATATACGTGAACTCTATATATTTAATGTTCAGAATAAAATAATCCTTGTTTGGAATGTTGATAGGTGTTTAATAATTAATCTAAATATATTTTATTTAATGCTATGACAAAACAATCTTTCTAAAATTGAAATAGAGTCGAAATTTCCTGCGATAAATCTGTTCAAATCAGATTCTTTTGTGAAAAATTGGCTATTTTTTAAGAGACTGCGAGTGCCTTTAACCATATATCACTATTTTGTTTTCTTCTAGAAGAAATAGTAAACACAGATTTTTTTAATGCCCTTATTTAAATGCTATAATTAGCCTCCTCTCAAAAGCAACTATTATATATAGTTTTACACATCTTGATAAATTAACATCGTAGAAGTTTACAAAAATTGAAGAAAATTCAAGAGTAATCAAATATTTTCTGAGGAAGGGATGACTCAACTTCAGCCAATTCAACAGTAACGTTGCCGCTAATCACATACTTGGCTTATGTTCTATACAACTGTTTGACTGTTGTTTTGTTTTTTTATTTTGCTTTATTATCATTAGAAAAAATTAGATTTAACCGATGGCAAATAAAAAACGCCCTTCATAACTCTTTAAATGTAAATTAGGTAGAAAGATCAACATATGATATTACGTTCACACAAAATATGAATTATGTGGCTTCAGTCTTGATGATTAACTTTCTTCTATAAAATTTCGTTCTTTAAAAACAAATTTTTTTTAAAATTCTTATTGAATAGACAATGTTCTTTTACAAACATTAAAGATCTTCATTGTAGATGAAAAACCTGCCGATATCGTACGACAATAAACTATTAAAAGAAATTTACTATTAAAGTCATGATAAAAATTCAAAAACATAAGTCCGAAATCATTGATATCACTCAAATAAATTAGAAAAGTCTTTACTCATCTATAACATTCATTTAGTCTCAAATATTAATACTTTGATGATGTTCCTTAATAAAAAGATCTGACAGCTTGGGATATCTCGGATAAACAGAAATTTCACAACTTCATTTGAATGATTAATACAAGCAAACAAAACATTATGAGATATATTCAATCTATAAAAAGAAAATTGATGAAATCCGATCAGTTTTGATTTTTTGAAGTATTTTAGAAATATCATAATGTTGATTTATGTCATGATTGAATCATTTGTAAGTTAAATTATAAATTTCTATTTGTTTGCTTCTCTTAATAAATGTTTTTCTTTTTTATCCGGTCTCTAAAAAATTTTTTTAAACAAATAAATCGCGTTATTAACAAGAGATCAACAATATTTTTTTATATTAGTCATTCTTTACCAATGATTCCTTAGAAATATTGTTTTTTTTATAACGGTCAAAATCATACGCGTATTAGTCAATTAAAAAGCGTAAAATTTAAAACTTTTTAATATTCGAATATTATCAAGTATAGGTTTATCATGAAGCAAACAATATAATTAATTTTTCTTTTCTATTTTCAATATATTTGAAAGCGTAGTGTGAGACAAAACTATGTAATACTTGAAAAAGAAAGGAAAAAAAATAATATTTCATGAATAATAAATGTGTTTAAAAAATAAAAGTTCTTCTATGATGATTTCCATGGAAAATTTTCTCCTTTGGTATCTTTCGATTGAATTTGATTTCTTCCATCAGTAGAAACAATATCTCCTGAATCTCCATCAAGTAAAATTAATGTTGGAATGCCAGTAACATTATATTTTTTTCCTAATTCTTCTTTTTTTTTACGTTCGTTAAAATCTAACGATAACCATGGCATATCTTTATAATATTCATCAAATGATTTTTCATCACTATCAGAACTTATAAATATTATTTCAAAATTTTTCTTTTCTGCATTTGTCTTATAAAATTCAATCAATACTGGAGTAAAACCACGACATGGTGGACACCTAACAAAGAAAAACAAAAAACTTCAATAAAATATAAAACAAATGAAAATTTACCAATGAGCACTAAAATAAAGACCAATTATTTTTCCTTTATATTTTTCATCATTAAGATCAACTAATCCTTTTGATTTATTCAGAATATGACCATCAAAGATTTTTGCTACACCAGCCATGATAAGTACTTTTGCTTTTGTAAGATCCTAAAAGGAAGCAATTTAGTAATGGTTTGCTGTTCTCTCATTTGCTATGTCTTTCTGCTTTTTCTTTCTCTTTTCATCTGTTACCTTGACACTACGAGAAAAAAAAAGAACGAAAAAAAAAATAACTATGCTGATTGCGCTTATAGGCTACTTATTAATCAACGACGTACTCACTGATTCTCTTTTTATGTGCTTCATAAAATTCTGTTTTTCTTTTTGGTTCGATTGAAGCAAAATACATTTTGTAAGAATGATTATGTGGAATAATATTGCACCAAGTAGAAGAAATTTATTTTTAGAATTAATGAAAGAAATCCAGGTTAATACTGATTCGAATTATATATATTTTCTATTTCTTTTAGTTTTCATCATTGAAAAAGAAGAAGAAATGGTAATATCAGCAACCCGTTCAAGGCACAGAACAAACACAACTATTGTAAATAAAAATCGAGGGTTACATAACAAAAATAAAAAATAACTTCATACAACACTTATACAGGACTGTACAAGGCCAAGTACATAAAATGAAAATATTTTCGGATTGAATCTTGCTTTTCGAATGATTATCATCTGTAAATGAGTTATTAGAATATCCATCAGATTATTACCGTCGGACCACAAACAGATCTGGTTCCAGTAACCGTTGTTATATCTCATAGGTAACCATACACAAACTTTAGTCACGAAATTACAGCATCTTGTTTCTCTAGTCATGATTTAGCACATGATTTTATATGTGCTATGACATCCTGTACCTTCTACAAGTGTTGTTTGAACACATATATTCTTTTTTTTTTATTGTTTTTCGATATCAGTTCAATTATTTTTATTTTTCGTACCACATCCTCGCGTGTATCTGTGACTGTATTATTTAGGCATGTGCGTTGATATACGCTTAAATGGTGCCTATTTTTAAAGATATTTTTGTACAACACAGATATAGTGCCGTTAACTATTATGGAAGATAGGAGTAGAGAAACCATAACTTTAGTTGGTTTAGACATTTGACATAATTCTTCCGTATTTCCACGGTTGGCAGTTCTTTCTTTATATTTTCTCACGATATGTGTAATCATTGGACTGCATATTAGCGAGCTTAACATTTCGACTAATTGTTTTAAGTCACTGATCTTTATTCAAAACTTACCGCCATAAGTGAAGTCAGAAAAGTGAACAGCATGTTTTCATATTCCTATGTATATTTATAAATTGAAGATTGAATTAACACTAATTGAAGCTTTTGTCATTGTACATTTCAGCTTCTTGTTTTTCGATTAAAAGATTTCTATTTCTATGTGACAACAGTTAATATTTATAATGTTTAATTTGTTTAATGTATTTTATTACGTCGATGAACGCTTACAATATTTTTCTATTTAACTCTTATTTCCCCAATGGTATTCATAGATACCATTTTTTTAAAATTTTCATTTTCTTGACCTATAAGATATACAGAAACTAATTTCATACAACACTAAAGTACATCTATTGCAGGTTTTTAAATCAGTAATTCGAGCACAACATTCTTCGTAAAACCTTTACTTGCTGCTCAAACAATATACCTTGTTATGATATTTGCTGAAGTCATGCCATTAGAGAGTGTTAACATGTGATTGATATAATAGATCAGTATTGAACTTCTCTTTATTATCCCAACGGTCACCAATGATGTGAATAATAATAAAACTAAACAATAATTATATTTTCTACATGAAATATGAAACAGAATTATACTTACTCGTAGTGTTAATTGGCACGGATAAACATGCGAGAGAAGATATCTAAAGTACACCTAGTTGTTGTTGGGCGTTTTCAAACAATTCGTATAAAAAAAAGAATCGATTTTATCGACTTTTTGCTTTTTCATACCTTGTGCTTCAATATATTTTCGGAGTTAATGGATGGATTACATTCTTCTTTCTTACAAAATCACGTGACTATAAACACGTGGACTGTTTAGTTGAATGCACTTATATGAAAATCATAATTTTGAGCACAAAATAATAAACGATAATGGAAAAAATCTTTTCAAATTAAACAGTGTTCTGTTAGTTTTCTTTAAGAACATGAAATTCTATTAGACAACAATAAAAAAAAAAAAAATTTTTTCATAGATATAATTGATATTGGACAACATGATCAACAAAATATCTGTCTATTACATCGTATTTTGATGAAATAACCAATTTTTTAAATGTTCTATGTTATGTCTTATAAAGACAAAAATAAAAATATTCATTACTTTTGAAGCAAGCGATTTATACCCAGATTATTTCAAGGTTTTTACTAGGGCACTAGACCTTATCTATTGACAAAAATTCGTTGAAATTCGAGAGGGAGAGGGGCAGCTGGGAGGTTTTTTCTCGTTAGCCCGCCCCTTAGTGCTAATCACCATTTTATGTTCTCCGTTATAACTCATATCTTTTTAGGAAAACTAAGCGACCAATTGAAATATTTTACAAATATATAAATAAACTTATTCAGTAAAAAATCATGAACCATCTTGTCCTTGTTTCCACCGACCTCATCGGAAAAACATAGTTTACAGGATTAAGAACTGCAACCCTTATCCATATCTGCAGAAAAATCAAAACAATTTATTTTCTCTGAAACATCAAATCTATTGTCTACAGCTCATTCAACTAACAATGAACATGCCGATATAACTATTGTACACGATACAAACTTTTCCCACCATTATCGATGCTCACAACATGGTTAATTTGATCATTATTGTTACCTATTGATATTGCACATTCATTGATTTGTCCATTTGAGTGAAATCTGTTGATTGGCAATTGAACGTGATAAAGATATAAATTTTGATCAACTTATTGGTGACTTTTCAGAGATTCACAAAACTACCTAGTTTCCTTATGTTGAATTAAATAGTTATGTTACGCACCTAGGATATTCAGGGTACATGCATAACATTTTACGTTCGATATGATGCTAGTTTTTGAATTGAGTAATATAAAACGGACTTATGTGAAAATAGTTAGTGTCTTAAAAAGGTCAACAACAGCTGGTGAGAGGCCTCAACCAAGTGGTTCTAGTTAGATATGCTTTGATAAAAATTTCAACAGAATACGTAAGGATATATTGAACTTTTAGCTTGGTCTTAGTTGATTTGTGATCTCTAGAAGAATCCTTGTAGTCTTGTTACTAAAAGAGATAAAAAGGGTTTGTTGATTTGAAATTAAAACTAATACATTCGAAAAGCTTTTCTTTGAACAGAATTTTCAAAAACTCGTTTCCCTTCATTTTCTATGATTAGTTTAGTACACACGGTATTATAATAGGCAAAAAAGTGAGTCAAAGACATTAAATCTCACTTTTTCTCAACGTAAAAATCAACTGTAAAAAAATCTAGTGGGGGAAACGTTTACTCTTGTTGGAACCTTCAAAATCAAAAACAATATATTGGCTATATCTTGAACTGTATAGGAGAAATTTCAATTTTTTTAATGGAAAAGGATGTCTTGATTTAACTCTTTCAAACTCGTGTGCAATATACGTTGACTCTTTATATCTACGACAAACTATTAGAAGAACATTATTATCATGATAAAATTCAAAAATATAAGTCAAAAGTCATTGATATCATTCAAAAGAACTAGAAAAATGTTGTTACTCATCTATAATATTCATTTAGTCGTTGAAAATAATAACTTTTATGATGTTTCTAAAAGGATCTGACAACATGGATTATCTTGAACATACATATAGATTCTACGCAAATGCCTCTATTCACAATTATTATTAGGTTTAATTAAGATCAATGGTTTGAATTGATCATGTTATAGAAAATAGATGATACTATTTAAATTATTGATACAAACAGGCAAAACAATTTTGAGAGATATTCGATCAACTTTGAGTTTTTAAGATATGTTAAAAATATCATAACGTTGATTTATGTCATTATTAAATCATCTCTAAATAAAATTATAAATTCTTATTTTCTTCGGTTGATCAATGTTTTTTTTCGTGATAAACAATTCGTTTGATTAGTGAGCAATCAATAGTATTTTTCTTATATTTGTCATTCTTCACAATCAATTTTTTAGAAACATTTTTTGAAATGTGCTGAATTATGCAGATGAACCGATAAAAAAATCTGAAATTCAAGGTTTTCTAACATTCGAATATGGTCAGAGATAAGTTCAATTATAGATTTATCAACAAGCAAACAATCAAAATATTCTTTTTTCAATTTGAATATATATTTGAAGATGTAGTATCATATAAAATCCCGTAGCACATTAAGAAAAGGAATATTATAATATATCATGAATAATAAATGTTATTACAAAAAGAGAAGTTCTTCTATTATGATTTCCACGGAAATTTTTCTCCTTTGGTGTCTTCAAATTGAATTCGATCTCTTGCATCAGCACAAATAATATCTCCTGAATCTCCATCAAGTAAAATTAATGTTGGGATTCCATCAATTTTAAATTTTCCGTCTAATTCTTCGGCTTTTTCACGTTCTTCAAAATCTAATGCTAACCATGGCATATCTTTATAATATTCCTTGAATGAATCTTCATCATTATCAGAACTTATAAATATAATTTCAAAATTTTTCTTTTCTGCATGGGATTTATAAAATTCAGTCAATAATGGTGTAAATTTACGGCATGGTCCACACCTAAGAAAGAAAAACAAAAACTTCGATAAAATATAAAACAAATAAAAAATTTACCAATGAGCACTAAAATAAAGTCCAATTATTTTTCCTTTATATTTTTCATCATTAAGATCAACTAATTCTTTTGATTTATTGAGAATATGACCATCAAAGATTTTTGCTACACCAGCCATGATACGTACTTTTACCTTTGTATGAGCTTGAAAGAAACCAATTGAGTAATGATTTATCGTTTACTTTGCTATGCTTCTCTGCTCTTTATTTTCTCTTTTCGTTAGTTTTATTATCATAAAGAGAAAAATAACGAAAACAAAAACAT